CTCGTACACTTGGTAATCAACGTACGGTTTTTTCGGTTAGTACGTTGGTGCTGGTGACGGAGGGCTCGATTCTGTTTCCGTGAGGGGGAGCTCAATTTCCTTCCATAAACAAATGCCCCATTTGCGACACTGTTGATATACGTTGCTAATAATAGAGATGTGCCCTGTTTCAGAGATCGCTGTCGAGTCCACATTTGGTGCTACGAAAAGCAGCGGTTTGCTGCTTGAGGCAACTTGTTCAGCGGGAAGCAAAAGAAGTGCGCGAACATGCTCAAACACTTGTACCACAGGGTATAATGAATAATATAAGTCGCAGTAATACGGAGCCGGGCTTACCGGAAACAGGCCTCGAAGGCGTTCTCCTCTCAATGCTTGATGTTGAAACTGATGACATGCTGAAACAGGATGTTAAAGTAGGCTTAATTCCCCAAATATTTCTTAAAAATTCCTCACTTTGCAAGCAATTTGTAAAATTCTCCTAGCAGACTTTAGATTATTACGTGGATTCTTTTGAATTTCTGTGCGCGTTGGTCCTTTGTAAATCATTGGCCATGTGTATTTGTGACTAAATGAATTTCTAAAAAATTCCTGACAATTCGTGTCCGTAGTGATTTCTTGGCAGAACATCCTGAGCGAATGGGCTCTTGCTGTATTTCTGGGTAAATCATCGGTAAAGTAATTACATATACCACAAAAATTTCTTGCCAAAATCTCGTAGCGAAATTCTGCTTTCCGTTTTTGCAAGGTACTGTTTGCAGGAAACACTGATATCTCTTGTTCAAGCAACGAGCAGTGATTTGTTAAGTTACTGGTTGTCTCTGTGCAAGGATATTCTGGCATCGTGTATGGGTGCTGATATGAGAAGCACAATATTGATCGAAGAAAAGTCGGATGGTACTGGGGACGAAGAGGATGAGTCAGAGGTTCTCAAATCCTTGCGTATATACATAGTTTATTAACTAATTATATTCCATCAAATTTGGGGCAGAATTTCGCTGTTGTTGCTGTAGCTGTTCATTCTACGTAGTTTCCAATAAAACGGTTTACTAAAAAAATTTGAATAAAGACCGCAAACGGTGCGGTTAGAGCGGATTCGACATTTAACGAATAGAGGGATGAACCGGGAGCAAGATTAAAGTATTTTAGTTTCGTGAAGTATGTTGCGCGTAAGTTGTGATTGAATATTTCGGCCCATAAAATTAAAATTATCGCATTTCAATAAAACTCTTTTTAAATGTTTTTGCTGTACAGTGCTGTAGCAATGAGCAAAATGCATATTATCAAGATGTTGCGTGTGTGTGTGTGTTTGTCTGTATATGTGGGTGGGTGGCTCTTTGTGTATGTTTGTGTTGTGTGTAAGAAGATGAATAAAGCAGTAGAGTAGGAGATAAGGGATGAACTCTCCAAAAGTATGGATTTCGTATGCTCATGTTTATGGGTGGTAAACACCTTGTTCTTATGAAAATGCTTGTAGGGTATCGATGACGATGTGACGTTGCAGTCGGCATCCGCAGTGAATCAGGAGGAGAAAATGAAGGTAATACCGCGATGGCCCAGTCGTGTGTTCGCCACCGAGATTGTGCAGAGGTTGATGTCTGCTTGCGAGACTGAGCGAGCTCATATTGACCTCGCACTTGCCAAGGAGTTGCAGGTCGGTACTGAATTCTCTTTCTCTAACATTAGCTACTATTCAGTGGATGTGGCTCTCTTTCGTTACTCTTCATCGCAGCGTCCAAATTTGGCAGCATTACTTTTATATGGGTAACG